CTGTCCCGTGTGCCCCTGTGCCGTGTGCCCCTGTGCTGTGTGCCCCTGCGGTAGTGATCCTCCATAAGGCTGCTGTGCCGTGTGCTCCTGTACCGTGTGCTCCTGTGCCGTGTGCCCCGTGCCATGTGTTCCCGTGCCATGTGCTCCTGTGCCGTGTGTTCCCGTGCAGTGTGCCCCTGTGGTAGTGATCCTCTATAAGGCTGCTGTACCGTGTGCTTCCATGTCGTGTGATCCTGTGCTGTGTTCTCCTGTACCATGTGCTCCCATACCGTGGGCTCCCGTGCCATGTGCTCCTATGCTGTGTACTCCTATGGTAGTGTTCCTTCCTCTTGGAGGATATTTTATTTCTCTAACTGTGAATCTTAAAATATTGGTATATTGAAATTGAAGTAATTATTTGAGTTTTTCTCTGATATATAATTATTGAACTACTACTTGTGAAGTTTAAAATTCTTATAGTGTAAGCTCTCCTGTGGATCATTATGCACCCTCTCCCACCATCAGAGGTCTTATACATGGTCTTTTGTCTTTCACCCCACTGTGAAGGGCACACAGCACTTCTGTCTCCTTTCTGTGACATAGTTCTCATTGATTAACCATTTCCATTTCCCTCTCCCCTGGCTACTCTCTCTGACATATGGTAACTACCTTTTAACTCTCAATTTCTATAAAATCAACTTTTATATTCCACATACGAGTGACATGACATTGTCCTTTTGTGTTTGTTTTATTTCACTTAACATGATTTTCACTTATATCCATGGTAAAGCAATGACAAGATTATTTTTCAAGTGGCTGAACAGTATCCCATTGTGTATTTACACCTATATGTGTTATCCATTCATCAATACATAGACCCCTAAGTTGTCTGGACCAATTCATATTCTCTCCAAATAGCATGGATAAGTTTCCGAGTTTCCATATCCCTGCCAGTGCTTTATTTCTCATCTTTCTCATAACCTTCATACCTAGTGCTGTAAGAGGCCACTTATTCATTTCCTGGCCACCCAGACTCCCGAAATAATCACACAGAAACTATATTATTTAAATCACTGCTTGGCCTATTAGCTTTAGCTTCTCATTGGCTAGCTCTTACATCTCACTTTAACCCGTCTCCATTAATCTGTGTATACATGTGACTGTGGCTTACTGTCAAGGTTCCAGCTCATCTGTTTCCAGCGGCAGCTACATGGCTTCTCCTGACTGCCTTATTTCTCCCAGCATTCAGTTTAGTTTTCCCCCAGCTCTATTTTTGCTAAGCCACTGGCCAAAACAGATTTATTCATTAACCAGTAAAAGCCAGCATATAGACAGAAAGACTTCCCACACCAGCCTAGTCTGGTTTTCCTTTGCTTTTGTCTGATGACCAGTGACACTGAGCACATCCCTGTACCTCTTTAACCACCTGTATCCTCCTGAGAAATGTCTGTTTAGGTGTATTGCTGATTAAAGAAATTTAGTACCTTATTCAATTTGTTTTATTTTTAACTTTGTTCTATTAGCATTTGTTAGTTGTATTAATAATGGCTTACATTATGACATTTCAAATATGTGTATAATGCATTTTGATCATTTAGTCCCCATTACCATATCCTGTTTCCCCGATGCCTCTTTCTAAGCAGTATTCTGAGATTCCTTAGAAAATGTGTGTGTGGGGCTGGAGAGATGGCTCAGAGGTTAATAGCATTGTTTGTTCTTCCAAAGGTCCTGAGTTCAATTCCCAGCAACCACATGGTGGCTCACAACCATCTGTAATGAGGTCTGGTGCCCTCTTCTGGCCTGCAGCATACACACAGCTAGAACACTGTATATGTAATAAATAAATAAATATTTAAAAAAAAAGAAAATGTGTGTGTGTGTGTGTGTGTGTGAGAGAGAGAGAGAGAGAGAGAGAGAGAGAGAGAGAGAGAGAGAGAGAAAGAGAGAGAGAGAGAGTTTTGTATATTGTTGGCCATAATTTCTGAGGCACTCTTTTGAGATTAATTTAGAAAAGTAATATCAGAAATTATGTGCAAAATCTTGAGCACTCAGGCAGAAATTAAGCAATGGAATCTGTTCTGTGTATAGTAGCTGTCCATGTTGGTCTCTTAAAGGAGGCCTGTGCTATGTTTTATTCTTTTCATCCAAAGCACATACACATACAGTGCAGGATTGCACACACCATTTCAGAGTCTACAAAGTCCATCTCTGGGCTCACTAACTATCCACAGAGTTGAATTAGAATTCCTTACTATTAGTTTCCCGAAATAGTTAATAAGGTAAGGGCTAGGGATGTAGGTCAGTGGCAGGATGCTTACATATCATATGCCATGCCCTGGGCTCAATCCTCAGAGGGGAGGGAAGAGAATGAATATATGTATATAGTGGAATTAGGACATTGGAATAGGTGAAGTTTTTTTTTAAAGACACATAAAACACAGGAAAGAAAACAAAATATATAAATGTGATTACGTCAAACTAAAAAGCTTCTAAATAAAGTAAGATAACAACATGGAGACAGTCTACAGAATAGGAGAAAATATTTGCAAGCTATACTTCTTGCAGAGTTGATATCAGTAGAAAATGAACTCTCAAACTTGACAGTAATCAGGCTTAAAACAGAGATGTGTGCTTTTTTTAACACTGATGTTCTGCATCTCTCCCTCACAGACAGACGAGAACCCGCCCGGCTTGTTGAAGGACCTCAGTGACAACGAGAGTGAGAACACTGTGAGTGTTTTCCACTTGACAGCCGTTCTTTGTGACACATTTGGTGCCTTTGTATGCTGTTTGGTTTTAGCTGGCATTATTTACACTTTGACTTTTTCATTCTTCCTCTGTATTTCTTGAAGAGTCTTAAGAAGAAGGTGCTTGAAAAAGACACCTACATCCAAGAGCTTTCATGTCTGTTTCAGAATGAAAAGGTAAACACGTCCTGAGTTTCTAACCTTAACTTCTATTCTGTTAGTATTGCCCCCCTTTCTCTTCCTCCCTCCCTGCTCTCGAGTCCTCAGTTATGAGCTTAATGAAGATGTTTTGGCAGTTTAGATCAGTGTTCATTTTTATGTATCAAATAGAGCGTCTTCACTTTTTAAGTTTTCTGATTGTTTAGTTTTGTTTTGTGCTGCTTAGGCTTCTTGGCATAAGTCACCACAAACTCTGTGCTCCTGGGCTGGGCGATGGGCCAGTCGGAAGAGCACAGCTTGAGCTTAGTCCCCAGAACCCTTGTAATTCTGATCCTGGAAAGGCAGAGGCGGGGGGATCCCTGGGGTTGGCCTAGTGAGCTCCAGGGCAGCGAGGGGCAGGTCGCAGGAGCTGGGTGATGGTCCTGAAGATGATACTCAAGCTCGTCCGTGATCCCACACACGTCATATTTGTGCGTGTGTATTTGTGTCTCTACACCTGTACACAGCTGAAAACACCTGCCATATACACACGCATGTCTTAGAACTATACATTGTATTTTTGTTTCTTTGGAAAAATTAAATAGTTTTGTTATTTGGAGGAAGATATTGTACATACTTTAAATTTTACTTGGGAGGAGAGATGGGAAGGTTTGTAGGAGAAAATCAGAAGGCACTGAATACACATGGGAGCTTTACCTGCAGTTTTATATGAGGTGCATTGTGGGGCCGCAGTGTATGGAGAGGACTGCCCTGCCTCAGTGTCTGCTCGGCTGCTGTCGGGCTCTGGGCTCTAACAAAGACAAACGGACACTGTAGGTTACTATTATCATTTTTCTTTTCTGTTACAGGAAGGTGCTCTGAAAGCAAACCAGTTTTCTCAGTCAGTCAAAGTGGTACATGACCGTCTACACCTCCAGATTCAGAAAAGGGAAGCTGAGAACGACAAGTTAAAAGAGCATGTGAAGGTTATGAATACCCATTTTATAGTCTCAGTAATAGAATGAATGAAAAAACTAACTTGAACAGCCTTGTTTAATTGTGGGATTCAGTGATAATAAAAGCATGTAATTTTGGTGTTTCTGTGGAAAACATTGAATATAAATCTTAATCATAAGGTGTCTAACCTTCTGAATATGTAGGTTCAGATCACTGTATGAAAATGTTTCTTTTTATATTCAATCTAGGAAGAATGACTTTCTTTATATTACTAGTTCTCTAATAATGATTTGGAAACTTGTTATTAATTGTGAAAGCTTGACCTTAGCTTAGGCTTATTCCTAACTAGCTCTTAAAACTTAAATTAACCCTACTTGCTCTTAAGTTATCATTAATATAATTAATTTATATTAATCTACAGTCTGCCACGTGGCCCGTTACCTCTCCTCAGTACCATCCGTCCAACTTCCTCTGCATCTGGCTGGCAAATCTTCCACCTCAGATTCTTTCCCAGAGTTCCTGTCTCTGCCTGGAAGTCCTGCCTATCCTCTTCTGCCTAGCTGATAGTCATTTAACTCTTTATTAAATCAATCAGAAGGTGCCTTAGGCGGGTGAGGTAGACCAGAGACACATCATCACATAGCATTCAGAAAGATTATCCCAGTAGAGACTTTAAATCTTTCTCATCGTACAGTTAATTTATGTTTACAATGAACACTTGTAAATTATGAAAACATAAATTAAAATAGTTTAAGGACACTGAAACTATTGTTACCATTTGGCTGCAGAGCATTCTGATCTTTTTCCATGTCTATGTAGCCTTTTAGGCGTATTCTCACATGTATCTAATAGGCAATCAGTAAGTTGTTTCTTTTGCTACCAGTTATAGAAATTGGGAAAGAGCTTGGATTTGTATTTAGAGCACTGAGCAGCTCCCTTTGTATTTGTGCAGTGAGAAGGGATGCTTGGTTTAGAAAGGTGTCCAAGCCACAGTTGTTTTGAGGTCAGAGTCTGAGGGTGCTACTATGTATCACAACCTAATTGGACCCACTATCTTACTTTTTGCCAAAGGAAAAGAAACAGTGTACCTACCTCCAGAGATTTCTGCAGACCAAGGGTGAGGATGTCTAGGTAGACCTCAGTTAGTTCTTCTTGTCCTGAATTCAGCAGATGTGTGCAACCTGTATCACCTGCTTTAAGAGCCCTGCTTGTCCTTCAGTGGCAAAGAGCTTTTGCTTTTCTAAGGGCATTAAGCAGGTTTATGGAAGACGTAATTTGTTTTAATTAATTTTGTTCTTTGGCAATTTCATCCATGTGTCTGGTGTATTCTGATTACGCTCCCCCTGGCTTCTGCTATCTCTTTTCTGTCCTTATCACCCCCTCCCCATCTACCACCCCCTTCCCTAGATGCCTGATGTTCAGTTTTGCTTTCAGCCGCGTAGCCATCAGTGTCTGGCAGAGTCAGTGGTGGTAGCCTACTGAAGGCATTGATTTCCCCTCCCCTGGACTCTGTTAGTGAGAAGTAGTCATTCCTTCTCAGTACCCGTTCCTCCCAGAATTTCCTGCCGTAGCCGTGGTGGGTCCTCTTGGCTCTGCATGGGTGAGACGGACACAGGCCAGTGTGCGTCCCAGGGCTGTGTAGGCATCGCAGGCCAACAGTGCGACCTAACCTGCCAGTCTCCACTTCAGATTGTCTTTCACGGCCTTACAGGGCCCTCAAATAGCAGCTGAGGATGTTTTCTTAGTTCCAAAAGAAATAATGAGTTATTTTCTAATAGAAGTTTTAGCAGTATTTTTGGCTTTTTAAATATACTTGATCATTCTGGAGGCAGAACACAAGGCTAAAATCAGAGCTCTGCTGTGGCATCCCCATTTTGAGATGATGCTGGGTGCAGATCCCTCCGCACTGCCGTTGCTAAGGGACAGCGAACAGAGGTGGCCTTAGGGCCTCGCTGCCCTGCTTTTCTGCCTCATACACTTTAATTACATTTTTAATTCATTCATACACATTAGTTATATTATCTGAAATAAATACGTAAGATTTAGAACTTAAAGCAGCGAATGATGTGGGAATTCAGTTACTTGAATTTGGGTTTAACAATTTTATTTTTCAAGTATATAAAAACTCAGTCTGGCAGCCATAAATCTCAGATTTTTATTTGTTGTCTTTCATTGGGCCTTTTAAAAATTTACATTTTGAATCTTTCAGAATATCCCAAAGATGCTTTTTCCAGTTTTTCTTCCTAATTTTTTATTGTATGTCAGTTGGACTTAGAATAGTTTTAGAGGAAATAAGGAATCTGTATGGCAGGATATATGTCCTACTGTGTCTATGCACACTTATGTGCACAGCAGAACTTACGTGCAGTACACTATATAACCTTTTATGCAGATATACATGATATGCAAGCATCTCGTGCTATCTCATCTGTGTCCATCCTCTTGGCAAATGACCGAGGGTTTATTTTGAAACTAAAGTTTGTCAGTTTCAGTTTATGCCTGGAATACTGAAGTGTAGGCTTTGGGAATTTCCTATGTGTATACAATGTGTTCTGATTATATCCACCCCCAGCCACTGCCACCCTATAACACGTACTCCTCCTAACTTTATGGTCTCTTTTAAAATTTTCTAAGTCTTAAATAGAATGCAAAAACAGTGTAGTGTGGTGGTGACACCGTGTGGCCATATTGGGGAATGACTGGTGCGTTTCTTGTGGACGGGTATGGACTTGACCTTCTAGATTGTTTTTTTCCCATTTACTCTAGTGCTCCATGTGCCTTCTTTTCCCTTTGCTTTGTTTAAGATAGATTTGTAGAGGCAGCTGAAGAGGTGAAGAGGTAGTTGCTGCTTCAAAGTTTACCTAACCAGTCTGCAGAGATGAAATCCAAAGACGTGCTTCTTAATTATGTTGGAGGAAGTGAAGGGAACCATAGCTTTTTTTGGTCACAGGATTAAGTAGAAAAGCCTGTCTACTACTGTGTGTCTTAAATTTATTTTTAGTTGAAATGACTGCCCCAGGAATGAAGCGTCAAACTTGGATTCTCTAATGTCAGATTTAACATGTATGTAATTTTAAACATACAAAAGCATAACACTCTGTAGTCATTATTTCTTACATACTTAATATTCATTAATATTTACGCAGAGCACTTGATGCTCAGATACTTGGAATGATTTGAAAGGACACCGTAACAGTCGTCACACCGGACCAGCTCTCTCATGTTTTATGAGGTGTGTGTCAGGAACTGGCCCTGCCTGTTGGCATTATCCCACTCAGTGGCTGCAAGCCTGCCTGTAGACATTGTTTGGCCTGCTTCATTAGATTGTGTGGACTTGGTAGCCAGTGATTTATCTACACTGCTTGACTGTGGAGTCGATCGTTTCATGAGTTTGTCATTGCTGGATGAAGCAGAACTTTTACTCTCCTGGTTCTACCTTCCTAGTATCAGCAGAGCCTTCCGATCCTAGAGTTAAGATTGGCCACCGGGTCTCTGCTTACCCTGTCTCCATCCTCCAAGCCCTGCGCATCTTGTCCCCTGAGGCACTCCTGTTTGTCAAGCTACCAGTTCTTTTTGGGCTTTACATACCTAGGGTTAAGATCATGTATTCAGCTGTTTGATGTTATATTTCCTACATGAGCTAAATAATGTCTTATCATGGAGGCTGTAAGGAAGCTGATGTTTTTGCACAATCACAAATATTAGCCTCTCTAGTCATAGCACATTAGTTTTATGTATACTGTGATATTTTGAGTTTTCAGTTTTTAACTTGCTACAGGAAATTTTGGCTATGTCACCTCTTATCACTGTTTAACTTTTTAACTATTCATAATTAGTTGTTTAGATAAAATCTGTGTGGCAGGTGGCTTTGTTTTTGCAGGATTATATATTGAAGCTTTCATATAATTTAATTGCTTTTATTGTTTTTCAGAGCTTGGAAGCCCAAATAGCCAAGTGGAACTTGCAGGTGAAAATGAATAAGCAGGAGGCTGTAGCCATCAAAGAAGCAAGTCGGCAGAAAACTGCGGCTCTGCAAAAGGCTTCGAAAATTTACAGACAGCGGCTAAAGCACTTTACGGGGGACATTGAACTCCTCACTTCCCAGATCAGAGATCAGGTGAGTGTGCCCATTCTGTGTAAGATGCTGCAGGCACTTTAATACCAGAGTTAGTTAGACAGAATAGGTGCATAATAGAGCTAATTAGATCGCATAGTTAGTTAGATAGCATAGCTAGTTAGACAGCATAGTTAGTTAGATAGCTTAGTTAGTTAGACAGTATAGGTATATAGCATAGTTAGTTAGATAGCATGTATAGCATGGTTAGTTAGATAGAATTGGTACCTAGCATAGTTAGATAACATGGTTAGTTAGAATAGGTACATAGCATAGTTAGTTAGATAGCATAGTTAGTTGGACAGTATAGGTAGACAGCATAGTTAATATTGGGAAGCTTTAGATAATGGTATTATTCTTATCCATCTTACTTTTAATGCTATAGAAATTTGCTCAGTTTTTTGCTTTAGACTTTTATTTTGAAAGATGATGTATCATAAAATACAACATTTGAATTATATGGCACTTTTGGGGCTTATTGAAAGGGAATGTAAATGTATACCATGTCCCTTCCCCAACACACACACACACACACACACACACACACACACACACCAAAAGCTTTTGTGGCTAGCTAAGAGTAAGGCTTGCTCCATCTTGCCCACTGGAAAACCACAGTGCATGTTAACATATTAAAGGCCCTGAAGAGGCTCTCAGAAGGCAGCAATGAGTGCATGGAAGTAGGAATTTCCCACACTTAACCACAGGACTCTTCTACCCACAAAACAGCTCTTGGAAGTGGTTCTGAGAAATATCAGTTTGGAAAATGCTGATTTATGTTATTAGACCATATGACTTTATTCAGAAATTCACTTCATTTAACCTCTGTAAGGCATTTGAAGCCATATGCTGACGTAAACAAAACATGTGAAAGATATCTTTGAGTATAACACAGAGCTGAGAAATGGACCAGTGGCTTTGTTCTTCCTGACAAATCATTATTCTTATTCAGTTGCCAACCATTCAAATATTCACTGTTTCTGTGGCTCACCAGCATCCCACCTCTTAAGAACGTGTGCTAAGGCTTATAGCTTTATTAGTGGCTTTGGGAAATGAAAACAGACTTGTATAAAAGCTTGTACAAACAAAACAAGTTCATATTTTATAAGCTCAAATGTCACCATTTTAAGGCTCTAATATTTAATTTATACTCACTGGAGTATAACTGGATATTGAATTGAAGACTAGGCTCAGCGCCTGCAAGGTTGTAACCGGGCTGAGTACCTACAGATGCTCGGAGTGGTGGACACTAGTCCTGGCACGATGCTCTTGAGGCCTTCCCACTGAGTTAGCACTGCCAGAGCGCCACGCCAGTTTGGAAAGACTCCTGCACTGGTTAGCCCTGGGGACTTACAGAGGCGTTCAGCCTCTCTGCCCTTCACTTCTGTAAGCTAGGGCATAAGAGTGCTGCTCACCTTGTGATTGTAGGAGCATGCGTGAGAAAACAGATGGGGTTGCTCTGCACTGTCTGTGTCCTCTGCGCCTCTCAGTGGGTGTGGCTACTGCCCTGTTGGCTGGCTGCTTCCTCTGGCTTTGAGTTCTTCCTTGTTCTTTGTCACTGGCTCTTTTCCCCCTTTCCAACCTCCTTCTCTCCAGAGATGGTCTTCCCTAAATACCCATTGAGTAGCAGACCTTTAACAGTTAATCATAGTGATGTCTGAATTCTATGGTATTTATTTCATGCCGACGCTATCTCATGTTTTACTATCCTCCCTCCTCAAGGATGTCTTAAGCTTGAAACACAAATGAGTTCCACAGTGAGACATTTATTGAATTCTTATTTGGTTTGCCATGCATGTGTGTGCAATAGTACAGCACAGGGGAATCGAGGAGGAGGGGTTAGGAAGGGGCTGTGAGGTCTGCGGTGATTAGGAGGCTGCCGTACTGCTAGTTCAGCAGCCCAGTGCGGTGGGAGCCGAGGGGCTCCTGTCTGTGTCTTTCCATAAGGACGGGTGAAAGAAGAAGTGAGAGCTTTACATACCTAATATATACATTTCTTCCATGGATCTAATTCCTCAGTATCTTGTATTAATATATTATAATAGGAACTGACTTTGTAATATATGTTATAGCCATCTTACTTCATAATTTATATTAAAATTTATTTTGTACAATATATGATATACTAGTCTTCAGTGTAACAAACATTTATGTGAAAAACAGACAATGTCTTGTACATAGTAGATGACCAATAAACTCTTCTCTATGAATGGATGATAG